TTTTTTCTTTTGCCTTGTGAACTGGCCGAGCCTTAATGATTCTGTTTCTTTACATGTATTTGCTTACTGACCGTTGCATGCAATCGTGAAATACAGCATTTTTTAAAATTGGCTCGGGTTCGAGCTCTAAATTTAACTGTGCCGATCGGGTCGGGTCGGGTCGGGTCAGACGATCTCGGGTACGGGCCAGGTTCGGGCTTCACTTTAAAGCCCGTGCAGACCTCTAGTGGGTCTTACGGGTTTGGAACAACACGATGGTGAGTAATTAATGACAGAATTTTCATTTTTGGGTGAACTAACCCTTTAACTTTGCAGTTATTGAACTGAACTGAATCAACATAGAACTGACCTGAGCTGAATAATGACATTATTGCCTTCTGTCAAGCTGCTTTACTGTCGAATTGTATTCGCTTCATAACTATTGAATTTTGCAAAATTTCCTCTGTTACTGACCTAAATTGAATCAAAACTGAACTAAATTGAGCTAAATAATGACACTATTGTCATTTTCGAGCTGCTATACAGCTGAAATGGTATTTGTTTCATAATTGATGGATTTTAGTGCATTATTGCTGTTATTTTCTTGTGTATTAATGTGAAGCTGCTTTGAAAAAATCTGTATTGTATAAATTGCTATATAAATAACTGTGACCCTGGAGCACAAAACCAGTTTTAAGTCGCTGGGGGATATTTGTAGCAATAGCCAAAAATACATTGTATGGGTCAAAATTATCGATTTTTCTTTTATGCCAAAAATCATTAGGATATTAAGTAAAGATCATGTTCCACGAAGATATTTTGTAAATTTCCTACCGTAAATATATCAAAACTTAATTTTTGATTAGTAATATGCATTGCTAAGAACTTCATTTGGACAACTTTAAAGGCGATTTTCTCAGTATTTAGATTTTGCACCCTCAGATTCCAGATATTCAAATATTGTCCTATCCTAACAAGCCATACATCAATGGAAAGCTTATTTATTCAGCTTTCAGATGGTGTATAAATCTCAATGTCAAAAATGTTTACCTTATGACAAATGTGACTTAAATATTGTACTTGTATCTGTTGCATGTAAAATCACTGCTGATATAAATTAATTTTAATTTATAGAATATTGACCATAAAATTAGATTTTGTGTGTGTTTGCAGGTTCTCTGAACTCTCCGCCTGGGTTACATCGAAGGAAAATCAACTCAGACTTCTGCGAAACAGAGCTGGAGACCCCAGCAAGTTTGGACAGGTCAAATCCACTATAGAGGTGAGAAACAAAGATGAAGTGGGAAGAAACTGAATGTGACAGCTGTGTGAAATCTTGATTGATCGCCCCTTCATGATTTGCAGAGTCTGAGAAACGATGCTGAACTGCAGGAGGGGAACGTGAGCTGGCTGAAGACGCGTTTGGCTGCTTTGATAGAGGTTTGCACAGAGAGTGACGCTCAGAGACAGGGAGCTGCTCTCAGCAAACTCTCCAGTGACTTTAAGGGTCTCCTCACATCCCTTTCTGAGGTAAGACATACTCATTTTAAGAACAAATTCAAATAAATCATCTGCCATATGGGAAAATGTCAAAGTAAATCAGCTGCCAGCGGATATCTATTTTATAGAACCTGGAGGTGAAGATTTTGAAAGCAAATTTCAAAATATAATTTTTCTATATTATTATATATTAAGTATACATGAAATATATATAATATAGATATAAACTGTATATAATATATTTTATATAATATATTATATGTGACCCTGGACCACAAAAGCAGTCATAAGGGTCAATTTTTCGAAATTGAGATTTATACATCATCTGAAAGCTGAATAAATAAGCTTTCCATTGATGTATGGTTTGTTATGATAGGACAATATTTGGTCGAGATACAACTATTTGAAAATCTGGAATCAAAGGGTGCAAAAAAATCCAAATATTGAGAAAATCGCCTTTAAAGTTGTCCAAATGAAGTTCTTAAATGCATATTACTAATCAAAAATTCAGTTTTAATATATTTACAGTAGGAAATTTACAAACGTTTAACCCATCCTAAGTGCACACACACAGCAGTGAACACACACACAGAGCAGTGGGCAGCCATTTATGCTGCAGCGCCCGGGGAGCAGTTGGGGGTTCGGTGCCTTGCTCAAGGGCACCTCAGTCGTGGGTATTGAACAAATCCTGCCGGACCTAAGACTCGAACTCGCAACCTTTGGGTTACGAGTACGACTCTCTAACCATTAGGCCACGACTTCCCCCTCTGTATTGTTCGTATTGTAGCGGATTAGGCACTATTTCAAAAGAAAGATATAAACAGAAAATCAACACATATGTTGGATGTGATCCTTATATTATGAAGAGGAGCGAATTTTCTGCTGAACTGAAATATTTGCCTGCCATTGAGGCAGTAGTTATACAGTAAGTAACAACCTTGTCCTCCAGACATCCTTCTACTCCAAAAAACAGATGAAGGCGTACAAAAGTATGGATGCATACCATTTTTTATTAGTGGTTGAGTCAATGACCTCGGTACCAAGGTGCTCCCCAATGACAATCGTTTGGTTTTTGCCCGCGTGAGTATTTCTTTTTTGTCCTATCGATTAACCTAGCAACAAACATTCAATGCTGCTGCACCTCTTGATGTTAGCGTTACGGTTGTTTACTTTACTTTATTAGGTTAACCACTCTCAAAGGTCTGCCAAAATGCCACTAAAGGCATGGATTATCGCAAAACAAGACGGAGAAGTCATTGCAGCTCATTGCAACTGCATTGCCGGGTAAGTTATTTACATTTGCCTGTATTTTGTATAACTGTTAAGTGTAGTGTGGTGTTGCTTGTAGTATCTGTTTTTTTAAATATAATAATACATAAACATATAATAAAGATATATCTTAATATATTACCAATGTCTTAATATATTATTATATCTTAATGTATTAGCCATTTGTGGTTAATAAATAAATTCTATTCATTCTTTTTTCAGATTGTCAGAATCCTGTTCTCATGTTGGGGCAGTTTTTTTTTTTTCCATTGAAGCTGGTGTTAAAATGTGAGATACAGCCTCAAGCACAACTGAAAAGTGCAAGTGGCTGATGCCATCACATGTACAAAAGGTGTGTAAATGTACTGTACATATTACTATTTTGTACCCTACTCTACGACGGCAAATGACAGCAACTGTCAGTTTGTAAAACACACTTCTGCAGGGAAACACAGGGAAAGTAAGATCAAACACTGCAACTACAATTCATATGGTTTTGTCTTAGACTAAAAACTAACAGCACACATTGTAGTTGCAGTGTTATATCTTAAATGTTCCATGTTATGGACCTCATAACCAGTCATAAGGGTCATTTTTTCAAATTGAGATTTATACATCATCTGAATAAATAAGCTTTCCATTGATGTATGATTTGCTATGACAGGACAATATTTGGTCGAGATACTATTTGAAAATCTGGAATCTGAGGGGGCAAAAAAATCAAAATATTGAGAAAATCATCTTTAAAGTTGTCCAAATGAAGTTCAATGCATATTACTAATCAAAAATTAAGTTATGATATATTTATTTACGGTAGGAAATTTACAAAATATCTTCATGGAACATGATCTTTACTTAATATTATTTTTGGCATAAAAGAAAAATCGATAATTTTGACCCATACAATGTATTTTTGGCTATTGCTACAAATATACCCCAGCGACTTAAGACTGGTTTTGTGCTCCAGGGTCACATATTATATATTTTCTGTATATTTTGAAGCTGGAGGTGATATGTGATATATAGAAAATATCAATGTAAATCAGCTGTTAGCTGCTATGTATAAAGTAAATTAGTCAATTTTTTGAAGTATTTTCTTTTTATTAAACAACTTTTTGTTGAGATTATGTAGTTTTGCCCACATTTGCCCTATCGCCCACTCATAATGGTTTCAAACTTTTACATGACCATTTTCCACCCTTTTAGAATTAAACTGACTGTTTTTGCTACTGTGTCTCGACTTGAAAGTCTTTCCTGTGTTACGATGCTTTTAAATATTAATAACAGATCGTATGTGTGTGTTGTGATAGTCAGAGAAGGTCGTGCTGGCGGTGAGCGACTGTGTGCAGTTCAGAGAGGAGGTGAAAACTACACTGGAGGAGTTGACACAGGGTCAGCAGGAGCTGCAGTCTGAGACCAGCAAGATTCTGAACTCTGAGTCTGTCAGAGAAGCCCAACAACTGCTGCTGCTTCATCAGGTGCCACCCTCACTGCAACCATGTTATGTCATAGCTGATAGCTGAAAATCATATTTATATCTAACATTCATGTGCTTTCCTAATGTGCAGCAACAACTCAAGCGTCTCCGGCTCAAGCGGAAGGAAATGCAAGAGCAGATAAACCGTGGGAAGCAGCTGCAGGTAGAGGAGGGTCTGGAGGAGAGCTTACAGGAAGACCTGCAGAAACTAGAGGCTACCTTGAGTGAAATGGATCAAAGCACAGAGTCACAGGAAAAGAACCTGGAGGTGAGAATGGTTAAGTCAAGTCAAATTAAATAAAAAAATAGAATTATGTATTTTAGATGTTATGTATATGTTACAGAACCTGGAGGTGAGAATGAAATTTAATTTAATTCAATATATTACATTTATATATTGTGTTTTTCACGTCGTTTTTTTTATATATTTGTGTTTTTTATTAAGCAGATAATTTCAGTTTCTGACTTTGAAACAATGTCCATCTCTGTTGTCAGGTGACTTTAGCTGCTTGGCAGGAGTTTGAGGGTCAGCAGGCAGCAGTGAGGGAGTTTGTGGGTAAAGTGCGATCGGTCACAGAGAGAGAGATGAACCTGAATAAGTGATTGGTTTGGTTTTCAGGATATGTTCCAGTCCCTGGAAAAGCTGAAGGCCACCCTGCTGTCCCTGTCCGCTGGCGCCCGCAGGCTCAGCGAGAGAGAGAAGGCCGAGAGAGCCGTGGCGGCCCTGCAGCAAAGTTACGAGCAGTGTTTAAAACAGGCCAAGGAAAAACAGAACCAAATGGAGAGCCTTCTGTCACACTGGCAAAAGTATGTTTACTCTCTCTGTTGGTATCTAATATCAAATTATGAAGAAGAAATATTATTTTGTAAGAGATATTTATTTAAATCTCTTGATTATTTTGTCTATTTCAGGTATGAAAAGGATTGGTCTGCCCTGCAGTCATGCCTGGAGAGATGTGAATCCATATCCAGCCCTGACTCTCAGTTCCTCCCGGTTGACAAACTAAAGCTGGACGGAGAGCTGCTGGAACTGAAAGTAATAAATGAAATAAAGCATGAAACAACATTCACAATGTATTTTACTTCTATAATGTGACACATTTCTGTGTGAAACAGAATATTTAGCTGGAAATAATGAATGACAGGCTTGGTTTTATCCATTGGGATTTAAGTGAATTGTGAAAAGTCGACCTATAATAATGGTTAATGCTATTTTTCATCTCTTCATTTTAAAAGCAAAGCTATTTCAAAACTATTTGTGATGAAAAGTTAATGAGTTTTTTTTTTCTTTAGAAAATGGCAGGGACATTTAATATTAGAAGTGAAATATTTCAATTTCATATTGTTTCTTAAACTTCTTTTAAAGCACCTACAGAGTGAACTTCAGTCTCTGGAGTCAGTTTACAACAGGCTGGTGGCCCAAACACCAACTCTTTACACCACTGCATCAGATGAACGTGTGAAAACACTCAAAGAAGACCATGAACAGCTTGAGAAAAGATGGAAGTGTCAGACCACAGCTATACCTCAAAGGTCAGTCATATTAAGCATAAGCTGCATTTGTTTAAAGAGGCCATCTTTAGGTTTCTTGCATCAAAAATAGTTGTAATTAAGCTTTGGATGACTATTTTCCAACCTTTCTCTGACAGCTTTTTTTTGCTATTGTACTTTTGATACTCTTATAAATAAATGGCCTCTGTTATGATTATCCAACCTCCATGTGCTGGCATAAATCAGGCTGTTGTTCATGAGGGTGGATCAGTATGTTAATGCGCTTATGTATGTTTGTGGCTTAAATTTCATAAATGGACTGGGTGGAGTGAGTGATAAACTTTGCATTAAAAAAACTGAGTATGTCTAACATAGTACTGTTCATCAAACTCTTCATCACAGAATCCAAGTGCTTCAGGAGCACCTTTCTCAGGTGGAGCAGTTTGATCAAGCCCTGCAGAAGTTCTTCAAATGGGGAGAGTCTTTCCTCTCATCTTTACATTCGTTTTCTCACGTTGATATCACTGATCTTCAACCTTCCACCAGTGATATCACGGTACGTTCCATTATGAGAGCCTCCATTCAGTATGTGGTATGTAATTGGTATGTTGAAACTAAAAAGTGATAATTAGAGAAATGTTTATGTTGCAATTTTTGAGAGAAAATAATCATTCATGCATAGTAGCTGCTGAAAATTCAGCTTTGCCATCACAGGAATAAATTACATTTTAAAATATATTCAAATAGAAAACAAAACAATTATTTTAATTTATTATATTTTTTCACAGTATCACTGCTTTTACTGTAGTTTTGATAAAATAATTGCAGCCTTGATGAGAATAATAGATTTTAGGGATGCACGATATTATCGGGCCGATATCGGAATTGGCCGATAATGGCAAAATGTAAATATCGGCCCGATATGAAAAATTATGCCGATATGTTTTGCCAATAAGAGGAATACATTAACTCGCATCTGCTCAGGGTGTGCTAGAGATTAGATCACGTCAGCATGTGGCTCATTCTTGACGCAAAGTTTTGACTGAAAGATGATTAGATTCACTGATTTAGATCGCTGCATTTAACTGAGAATGCACGTACAGAATGACGCGTTCGGTGTATGATAGAGTAAACGGTAATATAGCACGTGCAATGGCAGCAGCGACAGCCTGCCCCGGGTCCTAAAGCCCGTTCAGTAAGGAGTTTTAATTTCTTTCTTTTAATTTCTTTAATTTCCCGTAGGGGGCGCTGTTGGCCTACTTCTAATAAAATGTAGAAACTATAATAAAAGTAAAAAACATAAATAACATTTAGACTGTAGCTATGTTTCCATCACCCTGTTTTTATGCGCCTTTTGAAGTATCGCATCAGAAACGAGTGATGGAAACGCCAAATTTGGAAAAATCCCTTAAATCGCAAAAAAGTTTTTATGCTTGCTTGAGGTGGTTTTTGTGCGAAAAAGGGTTAATGCGAATAAAAGGAGATGGAAACGCATTTGCCGAGTAAATTCCTCCATGCGAATCAGAAAAGTCATGTGACTTTGCGCTATGGGATGGCAAAACCTAACCAGTGGACCAATCTCGTTCCTCAGCATCTGAAATGTTATGGTCATTTTGAAATGTCCGAGCAAAGTCTGTCATCAACGTATTTCTGTATAATTGCCTCCCAGAACTGTTACACGACTGCGTTCCCAAACAGCAGCATCCACCTCCGAAAGCAATGACCGCATTTATTTTGTTTCGTCTGCTTGCTCTGAGGCACAAGTAATTTATTATATAGGCCTATGAAAATTAGGTTTCTCCTACTTTTCATAGTGATATATAGCCTAGCGCCAGTTCTACCAGGAAGTGACGATTTTGTTATGTTTGACTCGTTGGATGGAAACGGTGCTTATTCACAAATGTTTTATGCGATATTTCAATTTTGCGCATAAGTTAAATTCGCAACTTTGGATGGAAACCCGGCTTGTGTTTTTGATTAAATAAAGCAGTAATTGATGTCATAAAATCATGAGTATGTTTTGAATTAAAGGTCAGAAGCTATAGCTTACATGAATAAAAAAAATCACAAACATGACACTTGTAAATTAAATTATTTTATATATGCTGATTTATTCATTGTGTAATATATTTTTAAACAAATTATGAGCTCTAAAAGATTTTTGCTTTAGACCATCTACAAATGTTAAATCTTAAAATAAAATGTTAAGGTTACTACTGCATCTTTCTGGGAAAAAAAATGCAGCGATTGATATATAGTTTATTTATAGTTAAAAGAACTTCATTATTGTTTATTTAATTCTAACAAATAAATTCTTGTTAAAAACTAACCAAAATTAAAAGTAATTTGTTTCACTTTGATTTCCACACAGGAGAGACTTGGTGTTGTTTCCAAACAAAAGGAAATATATCGGTATCGGCTATTGGCCAAAATGAGTTGAAAAATATCGGATATCGGCAAAAATCCAATATCGTGCATCCCTAATAGATATCTTTCAAAAACACAAAAAACTTACAAACCCCAAACTTTTAAAAGGTAGTTTTATGTAAATATTGAGAATGTCAATCCAAATTAAATGTTTTAATACAGTTGTCTGGATGTTTTGAAAATTATTGCATTTATGAATATTTGATGAGAAATTCAAAAATGTAGGTTATTGTGCCAGAGAAAGGACATCTACCAATTTGAGGAACTTGTTTTATTCTGTTGATATTTTAAAAAGGTTTTTAACCAAGGTAATCCAAATTTAGTCTTCAGGTTTTTACAAAAAATTTTACTTAAACATCATATTTAGTTTTACTTTTGAATAGCTGAACCTGGCAAAGTATCATATTGTTTAATGTGTTAAATTGAGAACCATAGTAAATATAAAATGAGAAGAACAGAGTATATTACCTATCTGCAAGAAGAGAAATTGGCCATTTTACAAGGCAGTATTGTTTTATAATCTTTCTCACCAGGAGAGGAGAGATGATCTGCTGAAGCAAAGTGTTTTAAGACAGAGTCTTCAGCAGCAAACTAAGACCTTGTGTGATGTTTGTGAGCCAGCTGAGGTTCAACAGCTTCAGGGAAAGTGGGAGAGCTCCTTGCAGCCATACATGGAGGCACATCAGCTGGTTGAACTACGAGGCGAGAGTCTGGAGAAGCTAGAGGCCTTCTTACACACCCATAGTGTGGCGGCCGGCGTCCTTCAGGGCCTCAGACAGACCGTGGAGAGCGCTGGGAGTTGGGATAAAAGCCGGGTGGACGAGCTGCAGAAAGACCTCGAAGCTATCGTTCCTGATATTAGTCGCCTTGAAACGCTCGCTGTGAATCTGGACGGCAGCCTCTGTAAGGCTCATCTCCACCTGATGAATGGAAAGGACACTCGATCCTCGTGCCGCTCATTGGCCGACTTCTTGAGCGTGGAGCTGGATGCTGTGAGGAACCTACTGGGCTCCAAACAAAGCGAAGCTGAGGCTCTCGGTGCTCTTTGGAGCTCGTTCAGACAGCGTAAAGAGCAGCTGCTCAAAACGGTAGAGGATATTGAGGAGAAGGCAGATAAACAGGGCCTGAAAGAGCCCAATGTGCTTACTCTACAGCAGAGGTATGGATTACTCTTTTCAACAGGGCTGTTTCTATTTCATATCTGTTGGGCTGCTTATTGAATTTGTGATGTTTTTAGGCTTCGGTTCTTCAATCAGCTGGAAGATGAGCTGCAGTCACACCAGCACGAGGAGCAGTGGCTCAGGGACAAAGGTCAACAGCTGGCTCAGAGAGACGCTGAGCTGGGTGGTGAAGTACTAAGGGAAATTAACCTCCTTCAGACCACCTGGGAAGACACCAAGAAACTCATTACTGAAAGGTGAGCCGCCAGTAACAGGCTCTTATACTGTGTTTGTTCCACTTTGTAGTGAGATGATTAAAAATATAAATAACTTTAAGTGTAAGAAAATGTTCACAGTATTCATATTAATGGTTGATCAATATGTCAATGGAGAATTATTAACTAAGATTATAACTTTTACATTTGGTCCCCCCTATTTTGGATATTAGATTTCATCTTTGTTGGTAGCAGACAATTGTCCTTTTTAGCCATATTTTTCTTCTAGCCATTTATTTATTTATTTTAATTTAATTTAATTTAATTATTTAAAATTGCCATTTTAGCCATGTTATGTTTTTTTTTTTTAATTTAATATAATTTAATTAATTTAAATCTTTTTTCTTATATTCAAATCTTTAGTGGTTACATGGTGACATTGTGGGACATGAGTGGTCCCTTTTTAATTTTTCTAAACTAAATTAAATTAAATTAAATTAAATTAAATTAAACATTTATTTAGTTTTTAGACTTATTTATTCAGTAATGCAGTAACAATATTATGGACCTTTATGGAGAACAAACAATTGCATGTAATGTTTAATTAAAAGCATAAGTCTTTAGTGGCTACATGTTGACTTTGTGGCTCTTCAGTGGTCTGATTTGATCAATCATGGTTTGCAACTTGGTCTAAAAGTTTGAGCATCACTTCCTGAGGGTATCAAAGTTAATTTTCCATATTTAAGTTATGCAGAAGTGCAGATTTTTTGTGTCTAACTGACATTGCTGCGTGTTTTTGTCCCAGGCAAGAGCAGAGCAGCGCTTTGGTAGAGCTCATGAAGGACTACCAGAGCTTAAAGTCTTCAATAAACACAATATTGGAGAGTGCTGATGCTATAGCCGACATTAAAGCTGTCCTAAAAGACCAAGAGGACACGCGAAGATCCCTGTTGAAGGTAAAACTTGACAATCTATTTTGAAATACCAGTTAATAGAGTTACTAAGTTCTACTATCCATGATAAACTTGTGGGTCTTAAATGGTCTTCCTTTCTGTAGCATGAAGCTGTTAAAGCAGAGATGGCCAGTAACCAGAATGTACTAGAGCGATTTTCAAGTAAAGGAAAGAAGCTTTTAAGTGAATTAAACAAAATCCCTGATTGCGACACCCAGAAGACAGAAATAGATGCCACAGTGGACCAGTGGCTAGATGTGAGTTTGTCCAAAGGCCAATTATTGAGTCTTCAATAAAAATAAAACCCTCATATAACAAAGCCATTATTCTTCATATCCACACAGGTTTCAGAAAAAATCGAGGACAATCTCGAAAGTCTCAAGAGGAGCTCTGCTCTGTGGGTGGAAATCTACGACATCAGTGGAGAAATCGAAAGCTGGTCCAACAGCTCGGTTATGGATCTGACAGATGGACTCAATAACTTCAATGATAGCCAGAAAACCGCAAACAAACTCTCTGAAGTCAAGGCATGTTCCAAGCTGTGTTATTAAACGCGTTCATAAAACCAGAGCAACAGTTGTGTAATATTTTTATTCATTTTTCTGTCTAGGTGGATGTTGGCCTGAAAGAAAAGAAGATTGATGCTTTACAAGAGAAAGTTTCAGAGCTGAAACAACTCTGCGGTGGCCAAGATGCTCCTGCTAAACTGCAGGTAAGACTGATCTTCATTTGTTCTCCAGCTCATTGGTTTTGATAACTGGTTTCATCACCTGTTCGCCATCTTCCAGGTCATTGAGACGGACCTCAGAAGGAAAATTAGTAGCATTGAAGAGTTATGTGACCAAGCCAAGAGCAACCTCCAAGATTTCTGCTCTCAGAAGAAGCAGCTGGAAGGTTTTCTCAGCCAGATGTCCGAGTGGTTGAAGAACGTTGAGAGATCTTTGGTGGATTCACCATGCGGAACAGCTCCTGAAGAAATCTGCAGAGTGAAGGTACAGAAAGTGTTTTTTTTTTCCATTTTGAAGGAAACATATTTACATTTATGCATTCAGCAGACGTTTTTATCCAAAGCGACTTACAATAGAAGAGCATAAGCTGTTCATCATAGAGCCAGCAATATTTGTTGTTTACAGTGCCATGTTTATTAGAAAGCTGAAAAATGAAAATTTAAATTTTAGCAGTTCGGGTGGATGTTGGCTGCTCATTCCACCAGAGAGGAACAGAGAGGGTGAAGGTTTTGGAAAAGGACTTTTAAAGAAATGAGTGAATTGAGGCATATCACAATTAATCAATCATAACCGAGGACATTTACTGCACATATAGAAGTTTTATAGAAGCTCTAGGGATCAGAGAGAGGGTGAAAAACGGTCAGATAACACTGAATTATGACTGTTTTGATACAAGAAACCTTGACTAACATTATAAATGGACTTTAAAGAAAAAAAAACATGCATACAATTAATAGGAAATCCAAAAGGAGCTTCAGAACCAGCAGACGAGCATTGACTCGGCCCGGGAAAGCCTGAACACGCTTTGCAGAAAATACCCATCCGAGGAACTTGCCGGTCTAGGTTCCTCTATGACCGACCTCATCAAGAAATATGAAACGGTCAATCAGCTCTGTGTTAAGAAGCTTGGCTCCATGCAGCATGGCCTCCAGCAGCACTTCAATGGTGAGAATCACTGTATTCCTGATTAAACAATGATCTTCCCTACTTATTCAAGGACAGACATTGTGGAAAGATTGTTTACTTACTGTCCACTTTGTCTTCTCTTCTCAGATCTTGTGAAGGAGTTTCATACATGGCTCTCTGGACAGAAATACATTGTAAGAGAATGTGCCGATCATTCTGGTGACATGAGCGTGGTGGGACGCAAACTGCAGAAATTGAAGGTATTTCATCTTTTAATGACACCTCATCCAATCTGAAAGGGAAATGCTATGTAAAACACCAAAATCATAATTAAGTGCATTATGGGCATACCTAAAAACAGATACCAAGCATCAGGTAAAATGTCTTAAACCAACACTTAATGTTTGTGACTGGTTAGAAAAAAATGGAAGTTATTTGGAAGTAATGTCAAATATTAGTACGATTTAAAATAACAGTTTTCTATTTGAATATACAGTATTTTAAAATGTAATTTATTCCTGTGATGCAAATCTGAATTTTCAGCATCATTACTCCAGTCACATGATCCTTCAGAAATCACTCTAATATGCTGATTTGCAGCTCAACAAACATTTCTTATTATTATTAATTAATGTTGAAAACAGTTGTGCTGCTTCGTATTTTTGTGGAAACATTGATACATTTATTCAGGGTTGTTTAATGAATAGAAAGCTCAGAAGAACAGCATTATTTGAAATAGAATTTTTGTAACATTTTAAATGTCTTTACTTGTCACTTTAGATCAATTTAATGCATCCTTACAGAATAAAAGTAATAATTTTTTTAACAAAAGATCTTTTGAATGGTAGTGTACTGCATGTCATCTCCTTTGCTGTTTTTTGCCATGTTTTATCTATAGTACAAACAATGTCTGACATGTTATGCATGTGTCACTTTTAACACTTAAACTCATTGTAATGCAGGGAGCTCTGGAGCGGGTGGATGATGGAGACAGCCGTCTAACGCTGGTGTGTACGGAGGGTGAGAAGCTTCTTCTGCACCTCCCGAAAGCCAGCGCTGGCCAAGTCCAGCAGAACCTCTCCTCCATCCAGCAGGACTGGGACAGTTACGTGGAGCAGTGTAAACAGAACCAGCAGAACCTGGAAGAGAGCGCCAGTCTGCTCAGCGGGTGAGAACTTAACAGCGGCGTCACACTGCTGCTTGCTGGGTTAAATATTAGAGCGGCAGATTGTTTGAAACAATTCCTGGGGATAAACGGCTTTGCTGTGGAAGAGAGGACCTACACTCTGCTCTCAAGTTGGCAGGGGGTTATTTGTCACCGAGCGCTGTGAATTGAAATCTGTGCTGTGTCTTTCTAGCTTTGAGAGCCGTCTGCAGAGGTTGACCTGCTGGCTGGAGCGCATGGATGTGAGGATGAGCACCGAGCTGCCTGAGGGGAGACACGGCGATCAGGAGAGAGTGACGCTGGAGCGCGTGGAAGAATTCCAACATGAAGTGCTTAAAGAGAGGTTAGAATATGTTAAACTGATAAATAGCAATCTTTTGTCCTATTTGTGCGCCCTCAGTAGGTAAATAAACGGCCCACTGTTTTTTGCAACAGTATAATATTACATTTTTTAACCTTGTATACTCATTTGGAAAATATATTTTAAAATATCCTAAATAATCCCCTCCCCCACAAAATAAAAAATAAATGAATATTTAATTTATTTCAAAAATATTGATATTTCAAAAAATTATATTTGTTTTATAAATGTTTTGTAATGAATAAATAATTTAATCATGTATGTATGTATTATTTAAATCCATGCATTTTGCATTTAACATATATTTAAATCAATAAGAAAATTCTTATGCAAAATATATGTATTTTATTGTTAAATAAATGATTATTAAATATTTTATTATTTTATTTACTAATACATTTTGTCATTTTGGAAATTCTATTTATAAATAATTAATAAACAATGTTTCATTATTAATGCATGTATATTGCATTATATTTATAAATAATAATTTAAAAAGTGTTATTATTAATGCATGTATTTTACATGACATTTTTAAAATTCCTTATGCAAAGTATGTGTTTTTATTTTATTTATTTTTTTATTTTGGGGTTTTTAATTGTAATAGTGCTTCCAAGGAAGCATGTTAAAATTCCTCATACTACAAATATTATATTAATAATATTACTATTTTATTACTAAGTTTCTTTGTTTGTTTGTTTGTTTATTGATTTATTGCATTATACTTAAACATTATTTTTGGGAAATGTGACCTGGACATGTGACCTGGTATTTGTGAGACTCATACATATATATACAGATCTGCTATTGACAATTTTATAGCATTCACTCACAGTATTTTGTGTAATGTTTTCATATAATATATAAGTAACTGTAATAAATTAAAATACAAATAATTGTCCAATCTCTTATCCTGCAGGGACTCATTTGAGAGTCTGTGCCAGGAAGCTCAGTCTCTGAGTGAGGGGGGTCATGGCAGTGGGGCGGAGCTTCGAGCGTCTGCGCAGCTGCAGCTGCAGCATCAGGCGCTTCTCAAGGCGGCGAGGGAGAGACTGCGCATATGTCAGCTCAGCCTGCAGGAGCAGCAGAACTTTGAGGAGACGCTGCAGAGCACCTGGGGATGGCTCAGTGGTGTACAGGAGCGCCTCAATTCACTCAACAGCACCAGCGGCAATAAAGAGACTCTGGAGAAGAGACTGGGGCTGGTTCAGGTCAGAAAACACAGTCATGCCACCCAAATGAATATTCAGAGATTTTCTTTTTTTATTATGGGATTTTTAATTGTAATAGTACTCGCTAGGTAAATGTTTTTGTTGAAATTCCTCATACTTCAAATATTACTTCTCACACTCTAATAAGGTTGTCAAAAAAAATCGAATTTCGAATATTCGTCGAATTTAAAATGAAAATCCACATTCGAATGCAAAAACGTTGCATTCGAATAAATGAATAATGAATGAATAAACAAACAAAGAAACTTAGTAATAAATATTTTGTAGTATGAGGAATTTTAACATGCTTCTTTGCAAGCACTATTACAATTAAAAACCCCAAAATAAAAAAATAAATAAAATAAAAACACATACTTTGCATAAGGAATTTTAAAAATGTCATGTAAAATACATGCATTAATAATAAAAAAAATAAAAAAAATAATTTATAAATATAATGCATTTTCTAGAGGGACATCTATTACTGTTGCACTCGCATCTCGCACAAAGTTGCCGCATGTTTAGAAAGCCATGTAAAATTAATGCAAGTTTAACTTTGAAAAAAACATATATCGAGACTTTATGGCGGGTTTTTTCCCCATCCCACTGCATCTCATGTTTTTAAATGAGAAATGAACTCTGTGTGATTGGCTTTCCGCCCTTTGTATTAAACTATGCATACATACATGATGATGTTTTGTTTATAGTTGTTTAAGCAACTTAATTAATTATAATTGGTTTATAAACATTATTTTAAACATTATGCACTTTTTTCACAAATAGTAATTTTATCTTATGCTTTGAATAAACGTGCATTAGTAATATTTTGCTCGATGCGCCCTCTTGTGGCCTCAGAAGAGAAGCCAAAAGCTTTTCTTCACCCTAACTGAAATTATGCATTTTAAATTCGAATATAATTCGAAAATATGTTGTTTGAGCACTGTGCTGATCTGCTGAAGTAAAAATCTTAGAAAAATCAAAGAAAAGTACAGAAATAGGGAGCAAAGCGCAGAGCAGTAAGCAAGAACGTCCGAACGGTTAAATTACGGAATATAATTTAAGTACAAAATTTGAATGTAGTTTTTCAGCCTTTTTGACAGCCCTACACTCTAATGCAATTAATTAAACCTAAACGCAAACTCTTCATCAATCATTATTATATATTAATAATATAATATAATATAATATAATACCAAGCCTTTCAAATTTTATTTTTATTTTATTTTATTTTTAATTTTGAGATTACCAGTCTTGTCCATTAAAATGGCATGAATTTGATATGTTGTGTTTTGAGATCTGGTCTTGTCAATTATGGCATAGGCCATATATTTTATTAAACATGAACTTTTTGTCTGTCATCATTATTATATTATATATTAATGATATTACATATTAATATGTTATTGATACAAATATAATAGCCAGGCCATTTTTTTTATTTAATTTTGAGATTACTAGTTTTTTAATTAATAATGTATGCATTTTTTTAATGATTTTTGAGTACAAATTTATTCTGAAATTATATGAGCATTGACATATTGATGATGTTGTTTCAGGACATCTTGCTGATGAAGGGTGAAGGGGAGGTGAAGCTCAACATGACCGTAGGGAAGGGAGAACAGGTGCTGAAGAACTGCAGTAGGGATAAACAGGAAATGATCCGCTCTCAGCTCAAGAGTCTGAAGGATTCCTGGGCCAATATCCTCATGACCGCTATGAGCTGCCACAGGTGAGTTCCTGTCTCCTCTTATGAAGCCTCAGGGTAACTTGGCAGAATACTGTAATAATCGTTTGTGTGTGATGCAGTCGTCTGGAGTGGACCGTGGCTCGATGGGGCAGTTTTCTGGAGAGTAAAGCTCAGCTGCAGCAGTGGATGGAGATGGTGGAGCAGGAGGCAGGGGTGGCTCTGCCGCAGCAGCCCGGGCTGAAAGAGAAAGCTTTGCTGCTGGAGCGCCTGCGGGCCATTCAGGCCGATGTGGAGGTCCATTCGTCAGCACTGACACGTCTGAATGAGAAAGCCACAGAGCTGTATGAGAAGACAGGAGACCAGGCATTCGCAGAGGGACCGAAATCGGAGTTCAACACCCAGTTTACCAACATCACAGCTGTCATTAAGGTAAAAATATGTCATTTTATTTGAAATATAGAAGGCAAACCACTTGCTGTAAGTCACTCTAGTCTAGCCTTATAAACAACATGAAACATATTTAACGTCCATAATTTGAAGTATTTTATTTTGAAATTACTATTCTTGTCAATTATGGCATATGGCATATATTTTATTAAACCTGATCTCAAACTTCTTTGTTGATAATCATTATTATATATTATTATATTACTGATATAAATTTAACACCAGGGTCTTGTTTTATTTTATTTTATACAATACAATAAATACAATGCAATACAATACATAAACCACTTCCTGGTAATTCACTCTAGATAATAGTGCCTACTGAATGCCTTAAAAACAACATGAAACAGATTTAACATCCGTAATGTACCTCTGAGAAGAAAAATGTTTAGTGGAAAATAATGTAGGTTGAGAGTTTATTACATGCACATCAAGATTTTATTGGATTGAGAAAATAAGCAAGATAATTGCTTAAGAAATGAATTGATTTCTTGGTTACATCAGCAAAAAAAAAAAAAAAGTATTTAAGTTTTAATGAAAGACTATAAAAACATTTCTTTTGAATAATAGTAATAATAACAATAATATACATCAACGAATCATTAACAAAAAAACCTGAAACATTTTTTTTTATTAAATAAGGTCAATTTTCTGAGTTTCAACATTTCTGATGTTTTGTGTAATGTCCTATTCTGCAGAATAAGGTGCAACAGATGGAGGAGATCGTCAAAGAGCATGAGCAGTATATGGTGTCGGTGCGTGACCTGAATGACTGGCTCACATCAGCTAAAGAAGAGCTTCAGCGCTGGTCAGACATGTCTGGAGACGCTGCTTCTGTTCAGAGGAAACTCTCTAAAGTCAGGGTATGTTAAACTATACTGTGCTCTGATATCTTGTTGTGCACATAATAGACCAGAAACATTTATTACGGAAGTTAATTTTGATTTCATGTGGACTTTAAAGCTTTGTGATTAAATTTTAGGGGCTGTTAGACTCCAGGAAACAAGGCCATGAGCGCTTGACCCGTGTGCAGAGCTGCGGTGCCGCCACACGCGACCACACGTCCACGGTGGGCTGTGAGGTTCTGGAGAGAGAGGAGGCTGGGCTGCTCTCGGCCTGGGAACAGTGGGAGCGCGGTGCTAAACACATGTGCTCTGGCCTGGAGGGCGTTCTGGCTCAGATGGCCAGCTCGGAGCAGGAGTTCAACAGCCTAGCTGCGCAGCTGGAGCAGGACCTGCAGGACTTCAGCAGCAAGCTGCAGGAGTGGCGCATCAAACTGCAGCAGGTGGAAGAAATGAGCTCCGGTGAAGAGGCTGTGCAGGGATGGCAGACAGCAAAGGTAAAGCCTACAGAGCAAATTATAAGCAATAATAATAAAAAATTTCTGTTCTTTTAAAGTCACTGTACTTAATGTTTTTATGACTCAGGACGCCTTGGAAGCACTGCTAAACATTGAGCCCATGTCGGACAATTTGAAGTGTCAGCTGAATGACTTGTGCCGGTTCTCCAGAGATCTGGGCGCTCAGTCTGAGAGAGTATCTGCCCTCATTAAAGAATACAACAGGTAAAAGAGCTCAAGACCACGCAACTCTTCCAGGTTTTACTGTATGTTCTAGTTTTAGCAGAACATCTAAGTACACAGAGAGACTAGTGTTATTATTGTTAACTAAAATAAATATAATATAAACATTAGATCCAAATGTTTATTAATGAAAAATCTTAAAATGAAAATGAGAAATGTTACCTTTGCACTAACTGAAGTAGTTTAAATACTAAAATTATTGAACCTAAAACTGAAAAAAATAAAAAAATAAAAAAATATATTAATATAAATTATAAAAAAATGTAATACAATGACAAAAAGCACATAGCAAAATTACTAAAACTTAAACCAAAATTAAAATGAAAACTGAAAATATAAAAATAACTGCTAATTCAAAATGAATAATTAAAATAGTTATGGTATAAAAACATACAAAAATAGTACTGAGACAGACTGGCCGAGAACATTTAAAAGCACCAATAACAGTTTTGTTTTTTCACATAACATTTCAGCAAATCTGAAATCAATGAAAATTGACCATAATAATAGTCAACAAAACAACAGAACAGCAGCTCATTCAAATTGAGCGGAAGCCACAAACGGTTCAACACAAACAGCATTGGAAATGAATGGAAAGTTTGTGTAGAATCATATTTGAGTACTACATGGTATCAATGTTCAGATCGCTTCGTTTGCATCAGTAGTTTGTAACATCTTTCTTCCTCCCCGTAGCCTCAGTCTCCAGGCGTCTCGAGAGTGTCAGGGAAAGGAGAAGCTCCTGGAGCAGCGCTTCCGTGCCGCTTTTCGGGACTTCCAGCAGTGGCTGGTCAATGCGAAAATCAATACGGCCAAGTGTTTCGATGTGCCTCAGAACCTGGCTGAAGCATCGTCCAGCCTGCAGAAGATCCAGGTAACATCTTATTGATTTACTGTTGTTGTCCACTCAATTCAGTTATGATTCTGAGGGTAAGTTCTTCTTATTGCAGGAGTTTCTGAGTGACCGTGAGCAAGGCTACGGCAAACTGAACACAGTGGCAGCCAGCGGAGAGCTACTGATGAGCATCGCTGCCAAAGACAGAGTGGAGTCAGTCAGAGCCAAAATCAACACGGCCAGAGAAGACTGGAAAACACTCATGAAGAACCTGCACCAGAGAGAAACCGCCTTACAGGTGTCTGACCATCATTTGATGATAAATCCACACATCTGTTGAATCCGAGACTCTTTTGATTTAGGCCTGTAATGCAATAACAACTACCTGCAATGTTCTAAAAATCTTGTTGCATTTAGTATTCATGTTATTCGATATTTCTTGAAAGGTTAGAACATTACTTGCAATCTCAAGGTGTACTTAAGTAAATCATTTATATCATAGACCTCAGTAGACCAAAAAACATCTGATCTAGCTATAATCAGTCATTCTCTCTTTAAATGTACCGTCATTGATTCTTTTCTTCCAGAATCTCCAGGCTCAGATGCGGGACTTTGAAATGAGCGTGGAGCCGCTCCAGGACTGGCTGAATGAAACCGAGGAGGCCGTTCAGGAGAGCAGCAGTCGGCTGCATGATCTCACAGCCAAGAAGCAGGAGCTGCACAGGTTACAGGTGCAGTACAGCGTGATCAAAACCAGCTGTACTCACAGCCATTAGCAGAAGAGCCATTCACAAGCAGCATTCTAGCTGATCGGAGTAGTTAGGCTGCTCTAATGAACTTTACAGGCTTTTTTGTCAATATTTTGCTCATATGATTTTGTGAATAGATATAGATATGTTTTAAATATTTAAATCTATTTATTTGAGATATATTTTTATTTTATATAAATATAGTTACGTTTATTTTTATTGTATTTATTTATATAGTAGGTTTGTTTTTTATGTATTATACATTATTTTTAATTTTAATATATTAAAGTGCCCCTATTATGGGTAATGAAAGGTTCATATTTTGGTTTTGGGAGTCAGGTTGACATGCATGCAAGGTCAAAAAACACTTTCATTGTCTTATAATATGCATTTTTTTTTACCTTACTTGCTCAACGACTCCCAAACGATTCGCTCAACGATTCATTTTTCCAAACCCCTCCTTTGCGTGACACTAATCTGCGGTGATTGATCTGATTGGTCTCATTTTCATTTCATCTCGCCTGTAATGCCTGATAAAGCAACGTTTGTGAGCGCAGTGCTGCTTTGTGTACAGCGTTACTGGGGAAACTATTTTTACTTCATTTTAAAATGACTCGTTTCAAAGTTTCAGAGTCGACTCTTTTTTTTTGAGAGACAATAACTTTATACACGGTGCACTTTCAGA